TTCAGTTTCGCCGTGTTGCGAGTCAGAGGCGATCTTTAAAACTGGATTCCACGTGAGCACGCGTGGAAGGTTGAACGGAATCGGAGGATGATGGTCTCTCTACCCGTCCGTGGCCTCCGTAGGTACCAACGATCGGTTTTTCTTCGGTAGCCCGTCTGGTTTTTTGGTAGCAGTTTGCCCGAGTCTCACCGCCACCGAGCCAAGCCCGCTTGCCCTTAGGCTACTCTTTCCTTCCGAAGGAGCACTGGTGGATGGACGATCATAGGGATGGCTTCGATCTCCTCTCGTTCGCTATTCAACCCTTTCAATGATAAATTTCATAGGAACGCCGTAAGGCAATTTTTATATTGTATATTGCGACCTCGTTACTCTTTGCAAACAATTAAAATATTTGTAAAGAATTAATACACTGGCAAATGGAATATCAAATTCATAAATTAAAGCGCTTATAATAAAAAGTTTCTGTAATTAAGATAATTTTTATATTTATGCTGTAATTGCAAAACATGCAATTTTCACTGCCATTCATCTCACTTATGGCACACATTAAATTGGAGAAAATATGGCATATCTTGAAGAACGACAGAGCAGCTGAAAGAAGTCAGGTATTCTGTGACCAATTCTTATATTCGCTGCTTGCGTTATAAGTGTATACGTGTATCTGGCCTACGAGTGCCCGATGAGGGTGATTAACAATGGTAGAGAAAGCAACAGCTGTTTCGAGCTAATTCGACGATGTACAACAACAGGGAAGGGTTCGCGGTGCGAGAAACGTGTCTTTCGATGCGGGCGCCGGAATGAGTTCCTTCGATTTTCTTTTTACTCGTCGAGTTGTTCTCCTACGTTCCGCTACTTGATTTATTTAATGAGTACCAGCAACAGACGCGAATTTCGTTTCCCAGCGGGTATTCTTATTCCTAATGAAGACAATGAAAGTTTGATAACGATTAATTTAAAAGGAATCTCGTGTTCATCGCTTCTTTACAATTCAATGCAGTCCTTTCATTTATGTGTAGTTTAATTTATGTAATTTCGTATCGAGAGCAGTTCGCGAGCAGTTCGTATCCATCGTCCAGTGCGAAGCCCTGGGTATAGTCAGATCGAGCGGGAGAGAAAGATTAAGCGCTCCACCCACGCCCATGTCTCAACCTGTTCTGTTTCTCCCGTCGAGCCGCGGTTACAGGTGCCTCCCCGAGGGCATTCCTGCTGGAATTCTTCACCGATGATCCTCTCCCGGCCCTCCTGCAAACTCTTGCCTTGATCGTGTCGCGGTTCACCATTTCTAATAAAAAAAAATGATCTCAAAGATCCTCTGTGTATTCGATCTAATTTATTCCTCTCTCTTTGCACGCGAGTCTGTCTTTGCATTCGAATAGGAAATTCTAATTGTAGCTTCCGCATGACAATATCCGATATCGCGGATATAACGAATCGATTAAGTTTCTGCTTTCTAACGAAGCACGCGGTAATCAGATTGCGTAATGTATAACGCGAGTCAAAGTTCTATGATTTGTTCGAACGCGACCGCGTCAGAACGAATCAGATTCAAAACATAATCAGCCGACCATTAATGCTTTCGAAAACGTCCTTCGCCGGTCTGGGCAGCAGGTGAAACTCTTCAAAATCAGAAGGAAGGAAGAAAGTAAATCGATCGCAATAAAAACTCTTCTAAACTAGCGATTACATCGCAAGCTACTGGTGTATATTTTTATTTCATATACTGCGTAAAAAATCGACGAAACGAATTTATGCTACCTAATTCGGTTTGAGAAAATTGGCTACCTACTCGACACGTTAAGTTTAGCTGTATCGTCTTAAAACTTGGCAACGTGCTTTATAACTGGAATAATCGTTCGACACGGAGAAGTCCTCGATGTTCCGCAATGGCCAAGGCGAAGGAGAATATCAAGCGAGGAGGAAAAGGAAGAAGAAGAATAATGAGAAGAAATGGAAGACGGGCGAACGAAGAGAGGATGGCAGCCACGTACGCCCACACCTCCTCGCCAGCGCCGGGGACCTGTTCCCGGCTTTTACGTTCTGACATCTTTTCACTCCGTTTACGAGTCCCCTTTACGTTTTACGACCGATCATCGGGACCCTTTCTCTCGGGCGAGATTCTGCCGACCGCGCTGGCCACGAGGCAAGGAGGGAGGAACGACGGAAACAAGAAAACGATCATCGCGGTAGGAAGAACAGGGGACACGCTATCCGGCGCTGATCTCTCGATGCCCGATACAAAATATCGCGACGAATGGTCGGACCTCGGATATCTCCGCGGATAGAATTCGATAGACGGCTGTTCAAAAGCCCGATGTTCCATGGATAGGACATTGTGGCGCGTTTACTGCAGCCTTGGGCGGATACTCCCATCCATGAAAATGGAAACGAACGATACGGCATTGTATTATATTCGCCGTGGGCATCGGACGGAAGCCGGCCAATGCGCAGTAAATTCTTTTGATGATAGTAATGACGCGGGACGAGTCGGTTAACAAACCCCTACACGGGTTCATAAAATTGCACTCGCAGTTAGTCGAAGGTAGGGTAGCTATTTCTTTCAACCGCGCGATTTATTTATCGTCGAATCAATTGGAAATTGACTGAAAAACTACAAGATGTATATAGATAACTCTAGCTATTTATAGAACTCAGTAAGTAATTATTAACAAAGTGTCATTTTTTATCCCTGTAATTAATTCTAAAAATACTTAATCGCCTACAATGCAACAACTGATCGATCAAACGTATGCTGGCACGCTACATAGCTCAGTACTTTGGTCGATTTACATACAGAAAAACGAGCACACGTTTGCAAAGACGTCATCGTCTGTTCTATCGAGCCGAATTTCGCGACCTCTCGCGGAGGCGTAAAGTCGAAGGCCGTCGTGGAAGAAACGATGGCAAATAGACTTCTCCGTAATTTAACCCAGCAGGCAAGTTGACTTACCGCGGTTAAATGTCGGCCAGGCATTCGCCATGAAAGGATCCCGCGAGAGGAACTCGGGGATCGAATCGATTTGGAAGAGCGCGGTAACTGCGCGTATACGCGCTGGAATGCCGCGGCAGGCTTGAATGGCGCGGCGCGGGGCGGAGAGTCTCCGGTCGGGACATTTGTGCCGGTGCTTCGCTTTCCGCGAACGCGAATTTCTATTCCGCGGACGCGACTAACTGCAGTCCGGCTGGAAAATCGTCGATCTCGTCGCTACGGACGTCGAACCGTTGTTTCACGCGTTGGAAGCTGAAAATCGACGGCGGTGCGTTTCATCCGCGCGCGATTCTCGCTGGTTACATATTTTACAGTTAAGCGGTTGCAATAAATCGCGATCGAAAACTTAAACGCTCGCGTCTAATTTACTGTAATTTAGATAATCGCTGCGGCTCGCGCGAGAGTTTCTCTTTAAGTAGGGAGGAAAGATTTACAGGAAACGATGCTTCGAGCGTTTCCACCAACTTTCTTTTTAGAGCCTTTCCTGAAAATCCCAAGTTTTATAGAAGTCTAATTAAAAATTATATCAACAAGTATTGTAATATTACATAATGCAAGAATAGAAAGCTTAATATCGTGTTTGTCCGTACTATGTATGGGATTAATGCGAATGGCGATGATTAATTACTTTGTAACAGGTAAATCGCGGCGGGGGCGATATTACAAATTTTACGGTGTCTTCGGATGTCTGCTTATCCAGAAACTCGCCTACGCCGAAAAAACGAAGGATACGGCTCGATTCGTACTCGTTGATTCATGCCGCGTGGAGGCTATCCCGCGGCATTTAAATTTCAAATACGCAGCTTCGCCGGATACATCTCTCGACTTGCGCGTCGTGGTTTTATGACAAAGTGCCGTTGTCGCGTCGAACAGGACGAGCCGTGTGGTCCGCGCGCACGGCTCTCCCATTAGAATAAACAAACCGACGTCGCGTCGTCGGCGAGACACGGGGGGAAAACGGGCGAAATTTTTGCACGCGCGCAAGAAGTCGCGACGAAGTCTGCCACAGGCATAATTATTCGCGAATCGGGTTTCAATCGATTAGTTACTGGTTACGTGCCGATATACGCGATTGGATCTGCCCTGCTCCCGCTGAGACCGTCCGGGTACTAATAATTTCAACGTTCAGAAAAACTCGTTCCACACGAACGTCATTCCGTCGCGACACGTGCCTCATCACGTGCCGCGCTGTACACGCATTCGTACATAGACAGGTATATAGTTACTCATCTGTTCCGCGCGCTATGAACAATACATAAAATAAATCGTGGAGGCGTTGACGCGAATCGCGTTGCATCCGCATCGTCTTTTGTTTAATGGCCGCGCGAAGCTCAATGACAGACGGTGAACCTGAGCCGTCTCGCAGAAAGGAACGTGCGAACTCGTTAATCGTGATTTGCTACGACCGCGACACGAGATTCCGTGCTCGTTGGATGTCACGACCCGTCTCCGATCACGTCGATCGATATCTCGTTCGCCCATCGAAACTCCCGCACTCCTTCGGTTTCCTACTAGCTTCCTCGCTTCGTAGCGCCAACACGGTAAGTCTGAAGACTATGCGTATAGTATAGTAAATATCCGAATTTCTACTCACGTTAAAATTTCTAATCACTGGCTTAAGATTACATATAAAATTATATGGAAAAAAGCCAGTGATTAGAAATTGTAACGTGAATAAAAATTGGGACATTTACTATGCTATAGCATTCATTTCTCAGAGCTTTCGCTTTAATCGCACGAATCCTTTAAGCTCACCTGCGAGTCGTAGAGTGGATAACGGCGAGATAAGGTCTAAGGAGCGCGTGCACGCATTGGAGAGAGAGAGAGAGAGAGAGAGAGAGAGAGAGAGCATCCGCGGCCAGTACTAAAAGGATGATTCGTGAAATTACAAGCGCGGAATCGAGCGATCTCGTCGAGGCAATCGGAAATGAGCCTCGCGGAGGCTGTAATTTAACAATATCCGAGATTACAGGGAATACGAGAGAGGAGTAAGAGATTGGGTTCTTTGTTTCAGGACGAGGTGGGAGGCAGTACGGTGGTAGCCGAGGGTGTAGTAGGCGGCATAAAGGGCCCAGGCGGCGGGTGCCGCGCATCCTCGATGACGATGGCCGAGAGCGCCGTGGAGGACGCTGCAGCCGCGCCCCCGGGTCCGGCCAAGCCGCCACCGCCCTCCTGTACCAACAACAATACTCTCGCGGCTACCGCGAACCGAAACCGACGGAACTACCGCAGACGGAAGGGCCTCGACCAGGTTTTGGACATCCTCCAACATCGGAGCTCACCGTCGGAGGGCGAGGTGTTGAGATTCGCCGGCAGCGGACCGGCGTCCGAGGAAGAGGAAGACGTGTTCGGGTCACCGAGGTCGTCTTCGAGATCGGCCACGACGGACCCGCCACCAGGCATCAGCTTGCTCCCCCTCAGGCTGAAGAGCGAAGAGCCCGTGACGCCCACCGAGGAGCAGGCGAATGCGCGGGACGAGTCGAGCAATATTAACAGCAACAACATCGATCAACAGCAGAATCATCATTCTCATCATCCGCACCATCGCTCCGTTCATTATCGTCACCGGCACAGGCATCATCACAGGAACAACGCTACGAATCACCTGTACGATCAGTTCCATTCGCCTCATCAGAGATCCTCGACGCCCAAGTATTCGGGATGCACCTGCGTCCACTGTATCCCGTCGACCACCTCACCTATGGTGCTACCCTCGCCGACCTCACCGTTGACTCCGCTCACACCGCTCACCCCACTGACACCGCTCACTCTACCCCCGTTGACGCCAGGATCCCTGTCGTCCTACAGTTTCGAGCACTACATGCACACCAAGTACCTGCCGGATATCTTCCGGGGACGCAGTCACTCGGACTCGGATCTAAACGGTCCGGCCCCGGGTTGGGACCAGAAGCCATCGCTCTCGACGTTGTCCGTGTTCATGAATCACCCGTCATTGAGAAGCGGTTTCTTAGAAGTGGACACGACCAGTCCGCAAGAGTCGCCGTTAGACCTGTCGATGAAGAACCTCATGGCGTCTGCCACGGCGGCGGCCGCAGTTTCTGGTAGACCACCGGCCCTCCAATTAATCCCGCCTGGGATCGTTTCTAGGGGCTCGGTGAGCGTACCAGTCGTTAAAGGCGATGTGGCTTCACCCACGACGAAAGAAAGCGTCGCGGTCAGGTATAATCTCGAGGTATCGCCGGTGGTGGAAGAGATGCCGCCCGGGGCGGACGTCGCGTACGTTTGTCCGGTCTGCGGGCAAATGTTCAGTCTTCACGACCGACTTGCGAAGCACATGGCCTCGAGGCATCGCAGACAGGGCCCGCAGGATGCATCCGCGAAAGCGTACCTCTGCGACGTCTGCAAGAGGAGTTTCGCGAGATCGGATATGCTCACCAGACACATGAGACTGCACACAGGCGTAAAACCGTACACGTGCAAGGTGTGCGGACAGGTATTCAGCAGGTCCGATCACCTGAGCACTCATCAGAGGACGCACACCGGCGAGAAACCGTACAAGTGTCCGCAGTGCGCGTACGCGGCTTGTCGCAGAGACATGATCACCAGGCACCTGAGGACTCACGCTAGATTCCCCGACGTCCAGACGCCTAAAATCGAACCTGGCCTCCTTGCCGGCGAGGACAGCCCTACGTTTAACCAGGAAATGGCGTCGCCTTCGGACGCGATCAAGGCCGAATGACGACGGCCGGACGGATGACCCGGCGGTGATTATCGAGAAGCAGGGAGTTCGCTTTCGACGGGAATTCTCGGGACTTCCCAAGTTCGGTCCCGGCGGCTACGATGACAGGACACGGGGACTCCGATGGACGAAGGCAGAAGGCAACGCGTCGCATGGTCTCGGCGTGGAATCGGTTCAGCGAATTGGCACATGGCCGTACGATCAAGATAGGATATAAGCAAGTTCTTTTTCACTATTCAGAAATTTTGGTATTTTGGTAATGTTTCACGACTCGTTATAATGTACATCGTTGCTTTGCAAGAGAAATTTTTTCGCGATCTATCAGACGGAAGACTTTTAACAGTATTATCTACTATCTTCGTCTTCCCGTTGTTTACCCCGGACTTGTGCGATATTCATTTCCTGGAGTTCTCTGCTGTTCGTCAATGGTGTGGCTCGTCCAAGATTTTTCTAACAATAATTACCGTTCCCATTTGTGGAATTTTTAATTTTGGAGATCACAAACTTGAATTTGTTTATATTATAAAGTAGCTCCGATTCAAGTTTATTCTCAATCATGAACGATCGTTCTAAATCGATTCGCGGGAGATGTTATTTATTGTTAGAATTTCTTGCCACATCCGGTCTTCATTTACTCTCTTAATTGATACTCGTACCATTGAATCAGAAACGATCTGAAAGCATTCCTGCCCGATCAGACGCGTGCTTCCTCTTCGAGAGTTTAAAAATTCGTCGCGCAAGGACTTGATTCGCAAATCGGGACGTGATTATTGAAAACGCTTCCTTCGTCGTTCGTCGAGTGTCTGCTGGAAAAAGGAATTGTGCCAAATTTTCACGGTCGGTCCATCGTTAACCCACGGTTTCACGATTACATATCCGAGTAGGTCGAGTCGGATGCGTTAAAGAGAAGACGTTTAGCGACACTTTTCGAGTATTAGACAAAGAACGGTTGATTTGTTTGCATAGTGTAATTACCTCTAAAAGACATTTTAATTTTTTAGCAAAATACAAGTTATTTATTATTATAAAGTCGCTAACAATATTTCTCGCACGCATTTCCTGTTACTCGACGATCGAAATCGTCAATTGAAACAATTGTTTGGATGTTGAAATGAAAGACGGAAACGGTACCGAGCGTGCGATCGGTAGAAGTTAGTTGTTATAACGATTTTTAACGAGAGAATGTTTTTTCTTTTTATTGTGCGTTGTGCGATATTCCTCTCGACAGCGTCGTGTTGTGTATATTTATAGAAACTCGTTTGTTGCTCGCAAGAAAGTCGAATTGAAAACGGAAGTCAATCGAAAGACAGCCCCTCGAAGGATGATTTTAATTTCGAGGCGCCAGAAACGATATGAAGTGCCGCGAGAAGGACAAATAAAAAGAGTAAAAAGAAAAAAATAAGAAAACCGGAAGAAAGAATACGAATGTAACTGTACCTGCAGAAAGAAAGAAACTTAAATCATAATAAAATGCGTCTAGACGTAACGTTAATTAGTGGGTAATATTAATATTATTATTGCGTTTTATTATTATTATTAATATTAATATTATTATTATTATTAATAATATTATTCTCATCGTAAACTATCGCCGTGAGAATGTTGAAAGTGAGAGTAAGAGAGAAAGATATTTTTTTACACACCGTCGACGAAAATTCGCGGATTGGTTCCATTGAGGGAATGGAAGAGGAACACCGAGCGCAGGACGCGAGTTGTCTCACCTCGTAATCATCTCGACGTGTCATTAGGTTGGTAAATATGAAATTCATTTTCAACAAGTTCCTACATCGTACATTTAATTCAAACAATTTTTTTTCACACTGATCGTTTTTTTATTCCCCGTATCAGACTATTAGAAGCTAACAGTTCTAAAACGTACAGATATTTAAATACTAAAACAATTTGTTCAATGAACTACACGAACTCAATCATATTTTACTATAATATGTTTCTATTTCAAATTTTAAGAGCAAACACACACGTTTGTATATTCCATAAATTATTATGTATTTAATTCATGACTGTTGATAGAACAAACGTTTTTTAACGAATTCAGATTTCATGTACACCAGCCTATTAAGTTCGAATATCGTTCGCTTAAGCTCGTTCTCTTCGACAGGAGAAATACTGCACGCGGATACTCAGTGGTCTTTATCTTGAAATCGTTACACTTTCTCGCGGAACGTCCACAATGAAAACGATTGATAAACGAAAGTACTTATTTTTATTCGGACGAAGCACGGGCCGATTTCGAGCACTCGGGATTTCGCAACGTCGCGTTGCATCGCGTTCAACGAGAACCTCGAAAAATACTCACGACTTTGACTGGTGACTGCGTTTATGCTAATTGTAATTAACACGGAGATGCTCTCGACCGTTGCACGCTATCTCGACAGGCAGACTCCAAAGAGAAGAAGAAAAAGATTGAGAAATCTAGCCTCCATTCGATAGACGTTTCAGTATCACGATCCTAAATGATAGTCCTGGTTCGAATTTGCATATTATATTACATGAATATACTTTTTATTGAAACTAGTTGAGAAACATGGAAATTGTGGAGACACGAAGATTTCTCGAATAGGTACGAAATCCGATGAATCCTTCGAAGTTCGATGGGTAACTCCGAACAAAATTAAGCCGCGTTTATAAAGTGAAGGTTGTCGTCTCGTTTGAACTGTTAATTAGCTATAGAAGGGTCTGTTGAGAAAGCGTCGGTGCTACACTATTCACGTATAACAATTCCACCGGAGACTGTACGCGCAGCGTCCGCGTCAGCTACTTTTACCTTGCTCAACCTCAACTCAACGTTCGCCTTTTTCCTTGCCATAACTCGGGCTACTGTGCAGCGTGTCGTCTACCGTTCGTGTCCGTACGATAGGAAAAGCGGCCGTAGCGACGAATAATCGCGAGTCACGCCCGTTCCGACGTACGCACGATGCTCATTCATGTATAGGTGTATTATACATATTACTTGTACACATCGACACACGTTACTGTAAATTCTTGACAGACACGTTGTTCTGTCAAGGAAAAGGAAGCGCACGATCCTACGTATACATATCTTACGTGTGTAGCCGAACGGCGTGCATTCTGAAACAGGTATGTGCGTATATCTGTATTTTTGTATACCGAGGTTTTTTCTAATTAGTCTACCGTCTTAAGCGTTTCGAAGGAGGAACGGAACGAGTAATTAGCCATTAAGGGGAAACTGTCGCTCTCTTGCTTGCCATTTTAACTTGCCTCTGTCGATCGGAACGATTACTCGGAAGGCGGCTTGTCGGAGTGACAAGAGAAGGATACACGAGGGAGAGACCTCGAGCCGGAAGGTCTCATACTGGTTGCGCGTCCTCGATTTCAACTTTTGCAAACTAGAAAACGACCAGTCGAAGTAATAAAACGAAGTCTTAAAATCGCGTACGACGTCTTGTAGTTCTTTTCGTTTTTTGTTTTTATTTTTATTTTAAGCACCTTTTTAAGGAAAACGAAAGTGGAGCATGTTTAGTTTGTTGATTAATTTTGTAAGCTGTCACGAAGGGGGCTTTCGACTCGACATCCATCCTTCGTGAGATTCAGCCTTAAAACTGAGAGAATCTCTTGCGCTACGAGCCCTTTACCACTCGATGATAAACAGAGAAGACAAATGAGAAAAATGACACATTGTATAATAGAAGAATGAAAAGAAGACGAACACTAATCGTCGTGCTTTTAAAGGCAATTAATCGATCGCCGTGCCAGACAACCTGCTCTTGTAATTAACTCATTTAGCCATTCGTATGATTATAATTATTTTTATTATTATTATTATTATTAT